AATCTAGTCCAACAGAACAGAACTGTTTAGGGGAGTTTTTGTTTGCTGAATCTGCTGGTGTGTTTTGTCCTAGTTGATGATAGTGTTGTTTGTGGTGGCATAGGCAAGATAAAGGAGAAAATAGTTGTGGTGTGAGGAGCAGTGATGGCTGGCATTAGGGGAGTGACTCTGGGACGCCAGTGATCACTGTCTAGCCTCCTGGAGGTGTCGTGGGACCAACTAGACGAAACACTGGTGAAAGGAGGTTCCCACCTGATGACCCCAAAGACATGTTAGTTATCACTGCTCATTAGTCTGTATAGCTGAATTAATAGTTATCATAGGACTTAGGATGTTAAGCTTAGGGAGCTATTCACTGAGTCTGGTCCATTTTCTGTAGCACAAGTTTTTTGTGTTTACCTTAAATTCAGACTCATGGATGTGTTGTTCAGACCAGATCAGATTTCATGTGACCTGGATCTGCAGCGACTCTCAGATTCACATGAGACCAACAAAGTATTAAAGTGAAGTGACGGCGGAGAAGAGAAGCTACGAGAGTCAGACGACTCACGATCTGAAATATCAACTGAAAGGAAGTCCATTCTCTAATTGGCTGAAAGACACTTGGTTTTATAAACTGTCAATTTTCAACCTCATGGCTTCATTAGGTTTGTAATGTGCTGACCCCCCCCCCCCCCCCCCCCCCCCCCCCCCCCAAGCTGCACATCGTTAGGCTCGTTAAGGTTTTTAAAGCAGCTGATCTTCAGTCATCTGATTCTTCTTCTGTGGTTATTTTGAATATGAACATGTTTGCTGAGGCTGTTTCCTCTCTGAGCAGCTCCATGTTTCCTGTGTTGTGTTCTCTATGACGGCTCCTTTATGTTGAGTTGCTGACATCTCACTGTGAATCCTTTGTCCTGCTGACGGGGTTAACGACCTCTTTTCATCCGTCTCCTCCCTCTCCTGAACAAACCACCCCCCAGTTTAATTACTGCTGCTGCTGTTTGGAATCACAGGAGGATGACAGGAGAGCTGGGAAACTCTCCTCCATCTTCTCCTTTACTCTCACAGTGAAGCACTCACCCTGCAGCTGAGGGACACAAACACTCTGACTTCTTCATGTTTGGAAATAAATCAAATCAAATCTAAACCTCCTGAAAACAGAACGACTCCAAGGTTCAAATGTGAGAGCTTAGAAAAAACTGGTGATTAGAGATGACTCCATGGCAACACTGAGCAGCTCCATCTGCTGAGGAAGACAATGCAATGTGTTTGAAAGCTCAAACAGCTGGTGAGCAGAGCTAGTTAGCTTAGCAACCACAAGTAGCTACAGGAGCTACACATCTGTTGAGCTTTAGATTTTTAACATTGTTTTGACAAAGATTTAAATTTGTCTTGATGTCTTATTGGACAATCCTTTCTCTGTCTCACCTGAGAGCTTCAGGTGGTGTCCTATGATTGGACCATTTGAAGGGATTGCTGTCTGGTGATTGGACAAGCTGCTGGTTTGACAAGTTTGTCTTCAGGTGTTTCTGCCACAAAACCCTGAAGACAGAGAGACTTCCTTGATTCAGGTTCAGTCACACTTTGGTGTTTCAGCAACAAAACTACTTGGTTTATGAGCCATCAACCTCCAGACTGAAACATGAAGCATCACATGAAGAACCAGAAGCTGCAGTTCCTCTAATGACTGGCTCCAACAGTGAGTCAGTCCCCATAGACTCCCATGTTAAAATGCCCAACTTTACAGCAGAAATAAACATGTTTACAGCCTGGTACAAAAACTGTTTTGGTCTCTAGAGCTAATTTCCTCCTTCATGACACCTGTTTATATAACTCACCTGTTTACATTTTATTAAGGACTAAAGTTATGGAGGATTGTAAAGTGTTGAGTTTTCACCTTTCACAAACTAAGATAAAGGAACTGATTAAACAGTGATTGCTTTCATCAGCATGTCTGGCTAACTGGGTGAAGAAACATAACGTTAGCTAACTGTTGGTGTGTAATGGTGCAGTCACTTTAGAAAGATCAGCAGTTCACTGACTTTACATCAACACACTGAGGATCAGAGGTTACTGATAAAACCTTTATTATCATAAGTCAGTTTGTCATTGTTTTGCACACAATACTGCATGTTAACACAACGAGAAGTCATGTGACACAACACCTGTCGTCCATTGTTTCTTTGTCCCTGTTAAACAGCTAAAAGTACCTGTAATGACATTAAATAATCAGAACCAGACTCAACATGATATGAGTACAGAAAATAAAAGGATACTGTATATCTGTATGTATGAACTTTATTCGTCGCTTTGAGAAGCAGGTAAAAATCAATTAAATGAACTCGAATAAAGAGAAACATCTTAAATACAGATGTAAAACTATGAGCTGTCGTTAGACTCTGTTGGCCAATAAACACTGCTCAGCTGCTGCGACAGACCGGATGTGTCAGGAAGAACACGACGTCTCCACAGTTTCCTGGTCATCTCAGACCAGATGATCCAAAAAGATTTGAGTTCTTCGATGACTTGTCGAATTCTGACCAGTTACAGCACAATCTCAGTCCAATCTCCCAAGAATCACGTCCCTATTGGACGATCCCCCACCTCCCAGGAAGTAGAGGACGTGGAGGACGATCTGTCCCCAACTATAGTTTATTTATCATGAATGGGATCTGCCTCTACACTTTACAATATCTGGACCTGACAACTACAACAAAAGCTCCAAATGTGGTCAGTAGTTTTGCAGAATCATTTAATATCAATCGTCTTGGCTGGAGATGGGATGGACTGGTGACAAACGTCTAGAATCAGGAATTTCAAGAGAAGGACTGGACCTGATGGTCTTTCAGTCTTGACCTCATTCGAGAAGCTGGAATCCGGATCAGTTTGGAGCGAACTGACGTCCAGACCTTGAAACAGAACCATCTGCACTGAAAGGAGCCTGCTGGGGTCGTTCAGGAAAGGTTTTCAGGGAACCTCCAGCTTGGGGGAGACCCCAGGTCTGACCCAGAACCCCTGGAGGAAGTTATCACATCTGGTCTGGAGACACATCAGAATCCTCCAAAGAGGACTTAGAGGATTAGGTTACAGAGAAAGCTCTCTGGACTACATTGCATAGTCTGGTGCTACCGCAGCTCGGATCTGGATCAGTAAGGACCACAGGTTTGACAGATAGTTTCAGCATCAGCAGCGATGTGGGTGACCTGCTGTGGTGAAGAGAGATCTTCAGTCCAACCCTCAGCTGTGGTCATGAATGAAGAGTATAACTAACCAAAATGAGTTTCCTATCCAGGGAGTCTGAGCTGGAGGAGGAACCAGAGGAGGTGGTTCAGGTTTCTGATCAGGACAATTTCTGCTTGGTTTTCTTGGAGCATCCAAACGACCCCAGAAGAAACTTACAGGGTGAGGAGCTTTGACAACCAGGAGGAACTCCAATGGTGTTCCCTCAGAGGAGCTTGTTAAGGCAACTCAGGGATGTGAAGCCTCCCTGTGGCATTATACCTATCATCCAGAAGGTTTCCTCTTGGACTGGTGGGAAGTCTCGGGTTCCCCGGGACCAGTCCAGCTGCTGATAACTGACCTCTAGATTTACCATAACCTGGACCACTGAGAATCTTCACAGGTACACCTGGATAAGGACTTCTGGACTACATTACCTCGCCTGTGGCCACAGGAAACTGGATGGACGGGCTGTGAAGCCTGATCCTGAATATTGGATTTTGAAATTTTCTAAAATTAAGAAATGTGGATTTACAGAGAACAACGGTGTGGTTGAACTTTAAAGTCTCTCAGAAACCAAATATAACTGTCATTAGAAACAGAAGAAAAACCAATAAAACCAAAGGAAGGTAAATAAATCTTTCAGAGACAAAGCGACAGGCAGGTGTTGTGGCACAAATTGACCAAAATCTACCACCAAACTCTAGAAACCTCTCCAAAGATACTTAGTTTGTGCTTTTAAATCTACTCACACATTTTCGTTTACATGTGAACATGCTTGAGAGTAGAACAGCCCCATCATTGGGTATATTGTAAACGTCATTATTACTCATATTATTCACTACCAGGAAACAGAAACCACAAGGACCGAGGAGTCCTGCATGGAGATTTGCATGCAAAACAACAGTTCATGCATCTGCCTCGCCTTTAGAAAAGAACAGTAGAGGATGCAGACGTCTGAAGGCAGCTCGCTTGTTCATCTAGCAGAGATCCAAAATGCTTTACAACGTACGAACTTTACGAAATTTAGCAAAATCTCGATAAACTCTTATAAAAACAAACCGGGGGGGGGGCATACTTCCTTCATCCACTGGTTCCCCGCCCGTCATGCTGTCTGCAGGGAAGCAGCGTTTGGTCAGTGTTGTGTTTGTGTGCTTTTTCATGTCCAGTGAAAACACTCCTGAACGTTACAATCTACTCAGCCTGAGTCGGCCCTGCATGCACAGCGGATGCTAAAGGTGCTACAGTTAGCATTTTCACACATGAAACATGAGGTGAGATGGACTATTTAGTGCCGCTGCTCCTCGATTCCCATAAACCTCTCTGCTTCCTACATCGCCGTGTTTACGACAATTCAAGATGGCGGCTGTAGGACTATGAAACTCATTAGTGTGTCCATGTGAGGTGGTTAGTGCTGAAGCTTGGTGAGATATATTGGCTAACCAGAAACATGCATCACCACGTTAGCTTACTTGCTACCAGATAGCTAACTACTCAATATCAAACTAGCGTGTTGCTAACAGGTTTATCGCAGTTTATCAAGAGTTTGTACGTTTGATTCTGGTGGTTTCTGACAGAGGAGGGTCATAAAAACCAGGATGATGTGACACAGCTCAGATCAAAGATTTTTTGGACTTTATTTTTCCCTCCACAAACTGACATGAATGAATGTGAGTGTGATTAAAGCTGATGTGACTGTGTGTCAGTGACTGAACACAGAGGAGCAAGGGTTTCCCAGGATTGACCTGCGTGTGTGTGTGTGTGTGCGTGTGAGTGTGTGTGTGAGTTTGTGTGTGAGTTTGTGTGTGTGAGTGTGTGTGTGTGTGTGTGTGTGTGTGTGTGTGTGTGTGTGATGATGAAACTCTCTAACACTGTTTCCCTTTGAGAATGTCCTAATTTGCACTTCTGTCACCTGCGGCTTCTTTTTATAAAGATGACGACAGGTGAGGAAACAATCTCCACCTGCTCCACCTCCTCACCTGTGCACGTCCCACCTGTAAATCTACAGTGATCACATCACACCCTCTTCATGGTGAAACGCTGCGTGTAGCACCTTTAACATCCACATTGACAAAGAACAAATACAGTAAACATGTTTCTCAGTCCAGGAGAGGTTGTGCTGTCGAGGGGAGGGAGGAGGTGGCCATGTTGGCAGCGGCGGCGCTCAGGGGCCGAATGGCCTGGAAGACTGGTACTCGCTGGGCACTTTGGGCTTGATGCCCTTGCTGTTGTAGTAGTCAACCACCTGGTTGGGCACTTCTGCAAGTACGCTCTTAGCCAGAGCAGCTGGAGACGCCTGAGGAGGAGCAGGAGGAGGAGGGGGGGGGGGCATCAGTCAGAGCTGCAAACTCTTCATCTCTTCAGACACCAACATCACAGCTTCCTGTCTAACATCCATCACTGTTCTACATTTTCTATCTCCTCAGTTTCACATTGACTTCCTTCAGGCAGCAGCTGGTTTCAGCTCATGACTCTGAAACTGATTCATTACCTTGAGTTTTTCTGATGATGTAACCAGGACAATAAAATCAAGAACATTGATCGATCATTGACAGTGATTATTGATCTGCACTGAGTTTGTTTTAGTGGAAAGAACCTGAAACTATGAGAGTCTGGGAGGAAGGAAATCAAGCAGGAGACATGATGAAATCCTCAAATACACACACACACACACACACACACACACACACACACACACACGGTGGTTGTCATGGTTTGCCGTGAGGGACAATTTATGTTTGAACACTTTTTGGACTCTTATTTTTGTTTAATTTCCTGTTTTATTTTGTATTACTTCCCCCTGTGTGTCTTGTGGTTATTCTACTTCCTGTCTTTGTTCTGTTTCCCTCCTTGTTGATTGTCTAATGTGTTTCACCTGTATCGCCTCCCTTCTGTGTTTTTAGTCTCTGTAACTGAGCTGCTCGTCTCTGCCTCGTTCTGCTGCTGTCAAACTAAAATTGCTTCCAGAGACAGAAAGTCTCATTCATCACACAGATTAAACCCAGGAGGGAAGAATAAATCCAGCGTCTGTAAAATGAGTCCAAACTGGGAGGACGTGTTCTGAACAGAGTATTAAAACGTTTCCCCTGAAGAAGATTTCTGGCAGATTTCGACCTCGTCAAGTTCACACGCTCTCGTCTCATCGTCCTCCTCCTCTTCCAATATGCTCCATCCCGAGTTTCAAACTGTCTCCACTCCTCTTTCTTGGCTTATTGCTTTCCTAACACTTCACAGTCATCCACAGTTACACAAAGGGTCACACAGACTTATATATGCACTCACTGTCGTCACATTAACACGCCATCTGCTGCCAGAGTTTAGTTTTATTTTAGCGTTCTCTTCTTTAAGTGTTTGGGCGTCAGAGGCTGTGAACAGATTTCAACACAAAGAGCTCCACCACGACACGTTCAGACATGAACTCAGATCAGATCAGAAGCTGCTTTCCATCACTCACATGTTTGAAGTTGCGGAACGGGACGAACTGGACGATGTCCCTCAGGACGGGTTCTCCTTTAGGCGATCGCAGGATCCCGTCGTCACCGTCCAGCATCTGCATGTCGCTGAAGTCAGCGTTCCCGACCCCGACGATGATGACGGACATGGGGAGGTGGGAGGCCTGGACGATGGCCTCCCTCGTGTCGGCCATGTCGGTGATGACGCCGTCCGTCAGGATCAGCAGGATGAAGTATTGCTGGAGGAGAGAATAGAAAGAACAGGAGTCAACACACTTCTCTTCATGGTTCACGACTCGTGGCTCTAACTGCAGCTGAACCAACTTCACCTCTGATCTACTGATTTGATTTCATCAGTGAGGAGCAGATCTGACCCTAAACCAACCCAGACTGTGACACAAGGATGTTTTTTGTTCGGAGTTGTTCCTGTCTCTTCATGTGGAGAAACTGTGACTTCTTGTCTTCACTCTCTCTGTGGTTCCTGATGTTCAGTTCAACAACAAACTAAAATGAGCTCAAGGAAGTTAGTTCCTGAACTTGGGCCATGGGTGGTGTGAGGGGGTGTGGCTTATAGAGCTCCACCCCTGGATGTTTTCCCAAAAGCTTTGAAGTTTATAATCTAAAATCAGGCCTCAGTGTCTCTGACTGTCTCTGCAGGTTGCCTGGCAACCTTCAGGTCTGAGCTAAGGCCCGGACGTGTATGATGTCTGGCTCCGCCCCTGCACCAACTGTCAGCGTCCTCCATGATTAAACAATGATTACAACCTGTGTGTTGGAGGTTTCAGGCTCGACTCCCCAGACTGGAAAAGTCTGTCCCTCCCTGTCCATGAAGAAGACTCTGACTTGGAGACGTGGACAGAGACAATGCCAGAGCAGATGGTCTCACTGACAGAGTCTGTCTCTGCTGAGACGCTGTTCTGACTGAACTCCAGCCTGGATTTAAATCACAGCCTCCGCTCTCACCATGGCCTCTTTGGTGTGGACCTCCTGCGAGGCGGAGTTGGCGACCTTCTGGATGATGGGGGCGATGTTGGTGGGGCCGTAGAGCTGCAGCTTGGGGAGGCAGGCCTGGTAGGCCTCCACCACGCCCTGGATCCCTGAAACAGAAACTTTAATCAGCCTCAGAAATAGACAGAAGATCCTGAACCGGAGGTTTCAGCTGGTTTCAAGGTGAATAAGGAGAAACAGCAGCTGAATCTTCCCGCCGTGTTTCTAAAGTGATTCAGGAGATCGAGCTGTGGTACGACTTTATGTTGTACAAGAATATTTTCAAATGTTTCGATTTCAGCTGAGAACAAAAAGAGCTTTTTCTCATTAAATTCATCAGTATCAATATTGGATCAATATCATTTTGTCATCATATCTGAACCCACTCATCAAATGAATCATTAAGTGTCTAAAAGAATCCACATTAACACTAACAAAACTAATTAATGTTGACAACCTGAAACTGAACTGAGCAGCTGAAGATCTGATAATTGATTATTGACTGATATTGATTGTTGTGACTCAGTAAATTAACTGCTGGAACTTTTACAGCTGATTCTTCACAAACTACTGGATCCAGATCCTGAAGCTCCTAATAATAGTGATAATAATAATAGTGATAATAATAATAATAATAATAATAATAATAATAATAATAATAATAATAATAATAATTTAAAACAATAATAATAATAATTTAAAACAATAATAATAATAAAAACAACAATAATAATAATAATAATGATAGTAGTAGTAAATAATGCAAAAATGTGTGTTTGTTCAACTAGATAAAGAAAGTTTTCTTGCATTCATAATGTAAGATAATTGTTTATTTTAACTCCCTGTATTAAGTTGAAACAACATTTGATTAAAAGTTCAGTCAACTTAAAAAACTCTTGAGAAAACCTGTCCATCGTAGTTAAATGAACTTTCTGAGTTGAAACAAATTTAATGTTCAAGTTGAGATTATTTCTTTCATTTCAAGTTAAACCAACTTGAAATGTGTTTTAGTCTTTGATAGTAATAATTAGGAGAGAGAAACATTTGATAAGAGATTCATTAGTGTCGGCTCTTAACGAGTCCAGGAGTCAGTTTCTTTAAATCCTGTGAGACAGAGACAAGTTCACTCTGTCTGTCTCTGGATGTCCCAGCATGCCCTGGGGCAGCAGTGATGAGATTTAATGTCTAAAGGTCACAGAGAACACACACACACACACACACACACACACACACACACACACACACACACACACACACACACACACACACACACAGTCTTAATTAAGTGTGGTGTGTCGGTGCTGAAATGTCTCTGAGCTGATCAATGACCTTTAGCAGCAAGAGGACGAGAGACGTTCGGCCTCTCTCTCTCTGACCCAATAAACGGAGGGGAGGGGGGGATCAGAGCTCAGCACTGATCAATACAATCAAACTGTTATCTAAACTCTTGAAATAAATCAGTGAAAAGATAAAAGATGAATTCAGTTCTCCTCATCATTTGATCAATTATTGATTCATTCAGAAACTTAAACCTTCATGAATCAAACACAAACTGGAACTCTTAGGTCTGACTGCAACTAAAATACTGATCACCAGCTGATCTCAACAAACTCTCCTCCAGGTGAGCGGAGCCCCGCAGGTGGGCGGAGCTCCTCATCATTAAACACTTTCCTCTTCTGAGGCTCAGTTATGAAAATATTTGAGTTGCTCTCTTTTCTCTCAGAGACGGAGAGCGGGAAATCAAAGCACCTACCTGCACACTCCGGGTTCTCCTCGTTAAAATTCACTGCAAAGTCGTGGGAGACCTGGAGAGGAGAGGAGAGGGGAGGAGGGGGCGGGGGGAGATAAAGGAAGCCTGTTTGATCTCTGCATTAAAAAAAGAAAGAAACCTAAAGAAAGAGCTTCAACAAAGAGATAAGTCCTCGCTCTCCTCACTTTCATCCCTCTTCATCTTCTATCTCATTTTCTTCTTCCTGACATCTAATCTGAGCAGCTGCCCCCCCCCCCCCCCGCCCCTCCCCCCCCACTCCCCTTCCTTCTGTCCTTGTTAAAGGTCTGAACTCACAGCCTGGCGGGGTGGGGGGGGTGGGGGGGTGACTGAGTACATACTTGTACCTTACTTGAGTATTTCCAGTTGCTGCTACTTTAAACTTCCAACAAGCTTTTAAAACACAAACCAGTGTTAAAGATCTGTTCGTCTTGTCTTACAAACATCAGAGTGAAGTCAGGGTCAAAGGTCAGATGCCTGAGTTGTTAACAGATCCACAGCGTTCTGCGGGACTGAGTCCTAAAACCATTCACTCCCTTCCGGTTTCCTGTTTCCTGTTTCCTGTTTCCTGTTTCCTGTTTCCTGTTTCCTGTTTCCTGGTCCTGAAGTCTCTGGTTGTTTAAAGGTTTTTGGTTTGATGATTGAAATACAGTCTGTGGTTAAAACACGAGCTCAAGACTTATTAACATTTTATTCTAAAGTAAATACAACAGTCCTGATTTCTTTAAGTTTTTATGTGATTAAAGCTCCTCCAGTCTAAAGGTCTCTGTCCATGTGTAGTGTGATTATAGATCAGGTGTAGGTTCTATATTAATACTGTGAAAGTATCAAAGCCTCAGTCCACTGTTGTCCAGCTCAGTGTGACATCACTGCTCTAGGCAACATTTGATTGGCTGATTTACAGAGCAGATAAAGTTTGCTAACATTAGCCACAGTTAGCTACAGGTGTCCTGAACAATCAGGAGAAAGTTTGATGATCTCACTTTAACTGTGAAACTGTATTTTTAGCTTTTCAGAACATGATGTGAAAGCAACTTCAGACAAGAAGCCGCCAGGCGCTGCACGGCATCATGGGAAGTGAACTGAAGGGGCGAGGGGGTACAGTTATAACTGGCACGCGCCCCAGGGCTGAAGAGGAGGAGGCAGGCTGGTAATCACCAGCGTCTGATTGGGTCCGCCTCACCCCCCTTCTGCTGACAGAGAGCATGCTGGGAGAGACGGCGAGCAGCGGTTAAATTACCTTGTAGTCAGGAGGGATCTGAGCGCCGAAGCCAAACGCTGGGAACATTTTGTCACTGGAAGAGAAAAAAAAAAGTGATGATGAGTCTGAGGGTAAAAATGGAAAAGAAGCCGCAGGAGGTCTGTGATTGGCTGTCAGCAGGAAGTAACAAGCTCATTCAGACCACAGCTACTTCAACACAAAGCACGGAAATGACTTCTGGTTGGCTGCGAGGACGTCTGAAGCTGAGAGTGATTACTTCCTGCTCGGCTGATACAGATCAACAGAGAGAAGAGAAGGAAAGTGAAAGAGGAGAAAAACAGGAGGAGGAGCCGCCGATGGTAGAAACCTGTGTGACGTGTCGGCTTAATGTTCCACTGTTGTTGGTTCTTAAAGGTTCTGTAAACCAGATTTTAAATGATAATAATCTCTATGTAAAGATATAGAGGAGTAATGGCATCCTGAGCAGAGAAGAAGCCACGCCCCCTCTGTGTGTGATGTCATCTGAATTTCTCTGGTCTTTGTGTTGGTAGCTGGTCTGATGGCGCGTGCATGTCAGTGCATGTGAGTTCTTCCCTGTGAAACTGTTGCTCCTCCCCACGTTTATAAACACACAGACTCCGCCCACAGGTGTGATGTCAGAGCGTTCAGGTGAAAGTAACCTTCCAGAATTTCCTCCACTGAAGAAGAAACCACGTTTTCATGTAAAAGTCCTCAGGCACAGACAGAGATTAGACCCGATCACAGGTGGACTGGACTGAGGACTACATCTCAGATCCTGGTCGGTAGGTGGACCGTCCAAACATCCAGAAAGGTTTTAAAGTCTTTACCAGCTCCATCAGTTTCTTTATCTGCTCCATCAGTGTCTTTACCAGCCCCACCAGTGTGTTAACACTGTCCAGTCACAATGGATCAGTTCAAGGCTGAATTTCTGTCCCAGTCCAACCGTGGAGCAGATGCTGGTACTTAGCTCATGGTTGTGGTGAGCTTGTTTTTGTTGGCTCTCATGTTCAGAGAAACTTTATTCAGTTGAGCCTCTTGGTGTGAGTTAAGTGGATGATGTCACTGAGAACGTGAAGGGGGGGTGGGGGGTGGGGTGGATGAAGTGTTTGTTTTGGTCTGATCAGCTGGAGGTCTAGTACGGTATCTGGTGGTCGTGACGATCGTTTACAGAACCTCTAAGTGAACACCTGAGCACTCTGACTCTAACTGTTAGTTATCAGTCTCATGTCTGTGTAGTCAGTACAGAGCTGGTGTTAGCTTAGCTTAGCATAAAGACTGGAAACAGGATTCATAAATCCACCTACCATCAGCTGACACGTAAACATGTCACATGGTTTTATTTAATCTCGACACAGTTTTAAATGAAGCCAGCATGTCGACTGGAACGTTTCATCCTCACAAAATGAGGGACTGAAACACAAGTTAGATATGAGTTGTTTTTCTCCATCAGTTCTCCTGAAGTCAACATTTAGTCAGTGCTGGAACAGAAGGAGTTCAGAATATAACCACCACCTGCTATGGAATTGTTTTACGTGTGTTCTCCTTTAATAAACCATGTCGTCTGATTGGCTGCTGTCGGACCAACCTGTCGTAGTCCTGGCAGATCTCTCCCACGGCCACCAGAGCCTTCAGGTACTCGTTGGGCTGGTACGGGTGGATGTAGTGCAGGGAGCAGCTGTTTCGAGGGTCTCCGTTAGAGGCTGTGAAGTCGATGGCTACCTGGAGAGACGACAACCAATCAGAGACAAGAGCCAGTCAGAGACAACAACCAATTACAGGTTAGAGAGCAAGTTAGAGAAAGACGGGGCACCTGTCTGCTATAGACCATACAGCTCATTTAACATCTAGTATTGGAGGTGATTAAAAATAT